CAAATCACTGAGGCTAAAGATTTAAATTCTTAATATTCAGATGACTTTTGAGTTTCTGGCCCCATCTGTGCATTAGTCCATGGTGTTAATCTCTGAGGGAATCTCTGCTGGCATAGAAATAAAATAAACAAACTGGGACACTAGTAGAATAATCGGCTTTTTAAATCCTTGGGTTTTTTTTATATACTGCTTATTTTTTATGAGATTTCTTTAACTCAATTTGCCACATATAGATTTGGCTCCCAGCTATTTCATTTTTCACGTGGCATGTTATCAACAATTATTCTATCAGAGTTCCATGGACTCAGGAGGAGATGGAGAAATTTTAAATTACAACATTTCTCATGTAAGAAATACTAATATTCCTCTATTTTCGAGGACTCTCTGTACTCAGTACTCTTTCACACCACTCCCAAGAAGGGTGGGAGGAGTAAACTATCCTGCAAAACTCCAGGAGAATGAAGGGGCTGGACAGAGTTTAAAACAAGTCACTTGGGCTTGTGCTATTGACTTGAAAGGGACCAAGATACATCCAGAGAGTTAGTGAAGTGGAAAGGATGAATGGGAATGGAAAAGGCCAGTCTGACAGGAACAAATTGTTTTGGAGAGATGAGTTAATTTTTGACAATCTTTCTGTTAAAACAAAATAGATACAACCCAGAGCAAAGCACTCAAGTCGCTGCAGAGCATTTCACATTGACCTTTTCAGAACTGAACGCTTCAGTTAAGTAAGACATCCACATCCTTCCACGAGGAAGGGTTTGTGGTGGTTACAGCAAAACTAAGCTTCTGCACAGATGGAAATAATCCTTCTCCATCACACTATTGTTTTGTGATTAAATTTCCTTTCTTCTATCATATTTAAGCATTTTCGTGCCATCTTATTGAGTAATTTTTTTTTTGGAACTGTATGAATTTCTCCTGGAAGAGCCCTTGCCAGGGACACTGCTGGGACCCTGCACACCCAGCAGCACAAGTTCAGGGGCTGTGCTCATGGCAGGCAGCAACTGGTGCTGCACAGAGGGCAAAATCCCACTCCAAGCCCCAGTTCCTCCCTGCTGTAAGGAGCTGGTGTGATGCAGCTCAGAGATGTGGGCATGGAAAAGGCAGCAGAATCCTTGCAGGGCAGGCAGCTCTGCACCCATCCCGCTCTGTCAGCGCTTGAAAGGCAACGCAGCTCCGGGAGAGCTGTGCTGATTAACGCTGCCAGAGGGAGCAGGGGAATTGCAGCTCCAGCTTGCAGCTGCATTTTTAAAACTTGGCTGTGTTCTTCACACAGAGGCAAAGTTCAAAGAGGCAGAACATTATTCAACATGAGTAAAACATGGTCTTTTAAGATACACTTTCAAACAGTGGCACGTTAAATCAAAACAACTCGTGGAGAGGGAGAGTGAGGAAGAAGGATGGTCCTGTGGTAAAGAAAATCCTGCATCACTACTCCTGTTCTGCATTTTTGGAAGGGCCTGCTTTTACATTTAAATTGCCCAGCTACTTGACCTGAGGCTAGATAAGCTAGACATGCATGAAACCGTTTTTCCAGAGATTATCAGAAAAGGAAAGAGATGCTATTCAGTTTAAGAGCCAGCACATCTGAGGATGTCCAGGGGCCAGTTCTCACTACGGAGAACTTCACCAAGAGTGAGCTCCTGATTTCAAGAACACTGTGCTACGGCTCAAGACACTATTTCAATTAAGTTATTATAATCTTAGCCAGCAACAACAACCTATTATAATTAATAATACTTGATGATTTCTATTCCTGCCAAGGGTTGCTTCAAGGTGACTCGCAGAGAGCGCGCTCCTTGGGAGCCCGGGCTGAGAGCTCTGCAGGCTGGGAAGCCCCTTCACTTAAACCCCATCAGACTGTCTAATGAGTCTCTTCACATCGCTGCCAATTTTTCCAGCTCTTGGACAATTTCGTGTATTTGTATTCCAGGCTAAAGCAAGCTTGTTTCTGCGGGAGGCTGAGTGCCCAGCAGTGCCACGGTGCCGCAGGCTGGAGCATGCCTCCTCCAGCATTCCCCTTTCCTCGGCTCACTCCACCCTCTTTGGGCTCTGGAGTCAGTAGGTCACATCTTACTTGGCCACCTCCATGCCCTGGCCTGGCCTGGCACACACACTGCAGCTCCGTGCTCAGCTCAGAACACAGCCCCAAGCTCTGTTCCAGGTCACCACATCCCTGCCCCAAGCGGGCACCAGGCTGTGCTTGGCAGGGCAGCATCCTGCAGGGACAGCCGTGCCTGCCGTGCACACACAGCCCTGCCTCTGCTCCAGAGCGCTGGGACAGCACCACAGGGCCCTTTCCTGCTCACTGGAACGGGATCTGCTCTACTGATCCTGCTGAAGCCTTCCCGGGGCTTCCCCCGCAGCTCAAGGTCACCGTGCCCTGCTCAGCCTCTGCGCATTTTTGATGGTCTTGCTCTGCAAAATTTCCATGGGTAGAGCTCGAGCTCCATATGTCCTTTTTTATCTGGGTTTTTTTTTTATTAAATCTGGGCAAAATTCCGACTGACTTCAAACAGCCATTGGCTGCTCACTCTAGCTGCCCTCAGAGTCAGCATTTATTTAGGATACTCTAACACCTTTCTCATTAGAGGTGTGCAAAATTAAGAACGTTGCAGATACTGTCGTAATCAAGTAATCCTGCATTTTTAATCACGGCCATTATAAATGGGCATATGGAAGATGTGAGAAATAACAACTGCACAGGATATCCAGGGAAGCATTTTCAGTCCTCAGGCATAGTTCAGCAGCACTGAGCAGAGGAAAATGAATGCTGAACTCCTGTAACATGTAATAAGATTTTTTGGTTTGCTTGAAGCATGGATATTCACACATATGCAGATTTATTTTTATAGATGCATATACATATCTAACTTACTGTTGAATCAGTACTGAACAAATTTTGCTGTTACCTCAAATAATATGCAGTGTCTCTCATTCCTCAACTGCTTCCAGAAATCATCATGAGTTCTGGTCACGTATTTCTTCTCTTGCAATGGCTGGTGTTGCACCTCCTTAGCTGTTACAATATTCTGAGGCATCCTGAGCTACTAAAAAGTTTCAAAATATTAGTAAGATCTACCCTCAGCTAAATACATTGTCTACACCTGTCTCTGCACAGAAGAGGGACACATAATTTTGAGGCAAAGGAGGAGCAAGCAGATATTCGCTTTAACTCTGTGACCTCTCCATCACTTTCTCAAAGGCACAAGATCATGTTTCTTGCCAAGCACATGGAATGAGGGCCTCTGATACCCAAATTCCTAGGAGGCTCTACAAAAGCAAGGAAGAGAAATTCAATACTAATACAAACCTTTAAAAGAATACTGATTAAACAGCAGAGAAAAAAAAAAAACCCCGACAAATACATCAAAGACAAATGTAATTGCTTTTGAATAAAAACAGATTGCTTTCTACCTTCCTGCCTTAAAGGCAAGCACACCAGCCTGGGATAGAGAATACCAAAAAAACACTGCTAGAAGCAGAGGCACAAGTATTTTGTAGGCAAAATTATCCTGTTTTATTTAATAGCTCAAAGGCTTATCTGGATTTCAGACAAGAAGAGGATGCAATTTACTGCTTCTCTGACAGATGAACAGAGCTAGTTAAAACATTTGGGAACGCTTTGAATATTGATCTGTCCTCGAATAAGATGTAAGAAATTTGATTTGCTATGGAAATGTTGTATCAATCTTCAAACCTTCGTATGCCCCAAAGTGGCCTTCAAATGAAAGCTGGAGAAATTCTCTGGGGAGATGTCAGCAGAGCTGTCAGCTCAGGGACTTCTCACGTTCCCTGCTCCGAGCAGGACCAGCATCAGGACTTTGCAGCTGGGACATCACCACGCAAAGGAATCAAGGAGGGAGCTATTCCCTGCTCAGAAATAATGTCACATTCTGTCCCCACCACGTGTCCCCCGCTGCTGCCTGTCCCTCACAGTGCTGGGAGACAATCAATCATGGCTGTGAATCACCTTGTTAAAAACTGTGCCCACCGGAGACTTCCCTGTCACACCTCCGGCAGCCCAGCCACTGTGATAAATGTTTGCTGACACAAACCAAAGTCACGGGGTATTTAACCCCTCAGCTGGCAAACAACCAAGGAGAGAATGTAGGAAAAAAACTCCCTCTGATTTCAGGAGACTTCCAATTGTACTGGTGGCACGGAACAATTTATGTTCAAAGAATGGATACATCCATTTTGGTTACACTCAGCAATGAGCTAAACCAAGCCTGCTCCCATATTGGAAACTGCACGGTTACACCACACTTAAATAACAAATCAACACTAGAGTTGGAAATAGAACATTAAAGACCTTTACAGCTCTGTTTTTTCCAAGCATATAAATGTGCTCATGTAAAAATCATCACTTTTCCCCATACAGATTACACCCTCACTGATTTTTCACCCATAAATTTCCTGAAATTCAACTTCAGGTTTTTCCCTGTTTTACCCTCTGTTAGAAAAGTCTGTGGGGACAGAGGATGAGCCTGCAATTTCAATGTGAATATTCCCACTTCTGCAGGTTTGCATCAAGTCCCAAGTAAGAAAGTAATTTCTTGAGACAGAGCCTTCTTTGGAGTCTGACTGGATGCCAGATATTGAGTTGGCAAATGACTGAATTAAATATCAAGGAGGAGGATATTGAGCATTTGAGACACAGGGTCAGTGAAAGGCCACTGCCAGACTCTGTAATTAGAATAACAGCCCAGTACGTGTGCAATGAGTGCATGAGAATGGCACTACAGAGCATCACTCTGCAAAACTGCTGCTTTTACAAACTCCACAGCCAGGAAGGGACCACCAGGGCCCATCCCAAGCCTGCACCTTCTCTTCATCCAGAAAAAGAAATATCAGATTGTTCTCACCTCCATCAGTCTTCCACCAAGAGCAAACCCCTCCCCATCCCCTGCGTTCCCTCCCAGCAGAGCCCAAGCCACCTCACCAGAGAAATGGCTGAAAATCTGTGAAACCTTGAGACCTTTTTTCAACTGTACCTGGTTTAGAGCCTTCATCAACAGATCCATTATAGACTTGGTTGATGAACTCTGGCCTGTTGTCATTCATATCAATCACGTAGATGTAAAGGTCAATGGGATTCTCCACCTTGTTTCCATTCATGTCCACTGCATGAGCCCGGAGCTGGGAATGAGCACAATGAAAGCACAATATCAGCAACTGCATTTGCTGCAGAATGAGAGACTGTTTTGCAAGGATTGACTTTACATCATAAATGCTTTCTCAAAATTGAAAGGAGCCAGTATCTAATTCCAGCAGAAAGCACTGACATGGTTTCCATCTACACTCGACTCACAGACAGTTTTTCAGAGCTTAATATAATATTGAAATAATATTTTAAGAGTGATTCTCAGTGGAAACACTTCAATGCTGGTGTAGTGATGCTATCCTATCCCCTTCACAGCTCACAGACCACTCTATTTTAATTTTTAAGACATATTGAACCTTGTCTGACAATTTGAAAAGCAAATTTTGCTTGGTTCCAAATAAAGTGAGGAAATTATTTTGAGTGAGAAGTTTCTTATGGGAACCTGCAGCATTTCACACCCATAATACTAGGGATTAGTAAGTGAAGAGATTTCAGGATGATCTTAGTAATGTTTATTCTTTGTTTAATCATGGTCTCCAGGAACAGCAAGAGCTACTGACCCCATTGCTCTGTGCACCAAAAGACATTTAAAAAGTCCCTTTCCTTCAAATAATGGGAGCCCCCATGGCACTAAGAATGCAATTTCCTCAGGCTTGAATAAAATACCCAGTGCTGAGGCATTTCAATAACCAGAGCTACAGTGTTAAGCCCTCAGTTAAACTGGAACTGCAGCTTTATCTTATTAGCAATAACCATCAGTAATAATGCCCAGAAACAAGAGCATCTGTTTTCTGAACAAAAGAGACAGATACAGCATGTCAAAATGAGTAATTAATAAAACAAAGCAATCACAATAGTCTGGAACAATCAGTAACCAGGTGAAAAAAATGGATAGTTTTCTCATTAAAGGGAACAGATGGCAACTCTAAATGGTGGCGTGGCTTCAGGAGAACTCCAACACCAGGGGAGAGCTGCACGTGGGGAGGCACAGCCTGGCTCTGAGTGCTGCAGACTTTGGCCACCATCCCTCTTCATTCCAGTCCCTGTGAGCTCTGCTGAGCCTCCACCCTGCCAGGAGAACTGGGGACAGCACTTGGGATGGCTGTGTGACATCCCATAGGGCTGGTGGGTGAGGAGCCAAGGCTTCAGAGCAGCTTCACCATGGGCTGGGCTGGAAAAGAACTTAAAGCTCAACCAGTTCCAACCCTCTGTGACAGACAGGAACCCTCCCCTGGACCACGTTGCTCCAAGCTCCATCCAAGCTGTCCTTCAGCACTTGCAGGGATGGGGCAGCCACAGCTTCTCTGGGCACCCTGTGCCAGGGCTGGCTGGCAGAGTGGGGCTGAAGGACAGGGGACACACCAGCTCATGCCATCCAGCAGGATGGAGGACTCTGGTCCCTCCCAGCAGTTCCCTACACCACCAGGCTGCTGCAGGGAGTCAGAGCTGACATGCCAGGGAGGTCTCCAGCTCCTCTGATGCATGACAAATAAATGTGCTAATTGCATTAGCCCTGGTTCCTGTCTTTCACTCTCACTGTGCTGGTGATTGATGCAACTTTCCCCTTCATGTATGGTGCTCAGAAGTCCAGAGCTTAACAAAAGGAACTGCACACCATTAGGATGGGCTGGATTAACATTTAATCAAGCAAAGAGAACAAACTGCCACGTGAAACGAGCTGGGAGAAAAACACTTTTTTTTTTTTTTTTAAGGAAATTAACCAGCACGTTTTCTTTAAAGCCAGAAGAAGTCCAGCTTTGCTTTCAATACAGGGTGTACCATTTGTGTTTCATGACTTGCAATGCTCTTAATATTTGCATTTCTTTCCTACATCGGAACTGCTTTGGCTCCCACCTGTTGAGCTATCCTTCATCATGTCAGATGTAGCAATTCAATAACTTTACAGTCAGAGGTCAGACTGTCTTTGAAAAAAAGTAATTCAGAGCTAAAATTAAAGTTATTATCTTCAAATTGAGGCAGCACTGGGCTCTCTGTTACAGCATTTCCAGCAGTGGAAATGGTTCCATTCAGAGATAAAGCAGAGAGCAAAGCTGGTATCTCCCCCCTCAGATCTGACTCTCCCCCTGCAAATTTTTAATTACATTTGATAGCTTTTGTTTGAAATCTCCAGGAGTAAGGGATTTCTCAGCAATGCACATCTATCTGCTTGTTGCACTCACTGAGCACATGTACCCATCAGCACGTCACTGCCTGCACTCAAGGCAAAAAAAATTCAATGAGCAAGACCACGGGAATGTCATCAAACCTGTGGTGACATGCTCGAGTGTCCTGAGCCCAGCTGTGGGAGGCAGGGCAGTGCTGGGCACACTGCTGAGGTCACTGCTGTGGTCACTGCTGTGGTCACTGCTGTGGTCACTGGTGTCCTGACTCAGCATCTGCAGTGCCAGGAACGTGGCACTCCTCTCTCCTGCTCCTTTTTCTGGCCTGGCTTCAGTGAACATTTCTACTTTTTTCCTTTTGTGCTTGTTTGCATTCATTTTCTCAGCCCATACTCTGAACAATTCTCATGTGCCAATGCCTCCACAGCTCCCATGACATGTTGCTTCTCTGTGGTCAGTGCTAGCCTGAGCCAGAGGGTTGAATTTCAACTCCATGGGAGCTCTTCCTGCTAAAAACCATTCCTTGTTAAGAGACAATTCCTAATTAGAGCCCATCCTCAGCAGAGACAGCCAAGGAAGGAGGGACTCCAGGGGGTCAATCTGTCTGCTGGGAAACTGCCTGGATCTCCAAGGCAGATCTATATTACATTTCCTTTCCTTAATTTATCTTCTCCCTCCTTCTCTCGTCCTACTTTTGGTATTCATGAGGCATTCTCAAGCTGGACAACACTCTTTGTTCTGGAGCCATTCTTCAGTGGCTAAGATGGGGCTGATTTCTGGGAGGCACAGTCAGAGCCCACGTGGTGCTCTGAGACCAAGCCACCTCTACCACCTCTGTTTTGGTGTTGAAGTGATGGAGGGATGAAAAGCAGATGCATGGGAGTGCTTTGTAGCACTGGGCAAGGCAAAGAGGGTGATGGTTGAACTCCATCAGACACACACATCATTTTGAGCTGGAAAACTCAAAATGAGTTTACAAAATGACCAGTGAAAGGTCAGTGAGCATCACCTGGGCCACAGGACACAAGGAGCACGCACAAGTATTCACATGGGAGCTGGTGGGTGACTGAAAAGACAGTTAAGAAGCATTTATAAAGTTAGTTTGAAGTATCTACGTCTTCCCCAAGAGGAAGAACATGACAGGAGTGAAGAAGGAATAAAATCAAATGAAATACCTTGCAAAGGATTCTGAAAAATTAATACACGCAGCCAACTAATCTCTAGCTGATGCATCACTGTGCTGTACCAGCCAAGGAGCTGGCTCGATATTCTTTAGCAAATATTGTTTAAAAGTGTGACAATTATTGCTATCATATTCAGCAGCAGCTACCACAGGTCTCTGAGGTTTTCCTACTGACAGTTTCCAGTGTAAATGTAGCTGTTGGCATACAAATGATTTGGTACCATGATTATTGATTACACTGGAGGCTGGTGGTATCTGAATGTAGTTAGTCAAAGTCAACATAGTGGATTGTGTTAAATATGAATATTACTTAGGCACTAATACTACTAATACAAATATACATTATCAATCAGTGACAGAGCCTTTAAGCAATAAGCATACAATGTCATGCCTAATTTGTGTGCTCTTAATTGTGATTAAAAGTTCAATTTAGAGCATTGTGACACAAATGCCTGGCTTTATTCAACATGGTTCAAAATACTGGAATTAGCTCTTGTATGCCCTAATTTGTAGTAAAATTGTTTTTTTCCTTTGCATTTAGAACAACTCTTTGTCAATCTATACCCACCTGTTCTGCTCCAGCCATTTCTGAGGAAGTGTTTTAATCAGCCTGATGCTGACAGTGCACACAGGTGTCTGGAACTGGATTAGGACTTGCTTCAGAGTTTCCCTATAATGCATATTACTTGAGCACCATAAGCAATGATTACTTACTGACATGTTTATGTTGATGGCTTTTGAAAACAGAGCTTGAAAAACGTCTTGGAAAACTAAGCTACCAATTTTCTAACCTTTGTACTTGCCAGGCCTAAGTGAAGCTTAATATGAAACTGGTGTCTGGATCAGAAAAGACTTTCAGAGCCACTGATTCTGTCAGCAGCATAAACAGGACTTGGGGAGTGCTGCTAAATAAGGCCAAGAGAACTCATGCATATTAAATATCACTACCTGCTGAAACTTTCTTGGCATGCAGTGAACATTTTAGGGGCTGACTGCAAGGGGAGATGCAGCACACGCCTGCCACAGTAAGATGGCAG